CCCCAAAACCCCAAAACCCCAAAACCCCAAAACCCCTTGTTGGGAAATATTCATTGATATTAATCAATTATCTCTTTTCTCTTCGTATTCTTAGACTTGACATATGATCCTTTGCTTTGGCCCTTTAAAGTGCAGTAGTTGTCCCACTTCCCATGTCTGCCATCGTTGTAATTTCTAAGAAGGACAGAGTTAACTGCAACATCTTTTGAATTAGTGTTCTCAACTTGAGTCACTCTGTGAAACTCTTTGGCAATAGTTCTCTCCATTATTAAGTCCTGCTCATTTTGAAGAAGCTTGGCCGTATGGTTGAAATGCAATGTGTTGTAGTCTTCTTCCTCCTCATCCATCGCCCTTGTCTTCTTCGTGTGCATCGATATCGGTAGAATCCTCTTCAATGTGAAGTATGGGTTCTTGATATCATCTCTGTTTACTTTCGGGTTCTGGTTGATCAGGTTCGGATTTTTGAATTTCTCGATCGGTTTTTTGGTGATCTGAGACACCCAGTAGTTGATTCTGAGTCTTCGATCTTCAAGAATCATCTTCTGCATGTCTTCGAAGTTATATCTTCCGTAGTAGTCTGTTTCGAGGTCTTCAAGCAAATTCCTGATATCATCTTCGGTGTACATGATTTCTTCTGGCTCTTTCAGATCCAGAATGTCGATCATGATTTTGGCTGAGGAGCCTTTCTCAATTTTAAGCAGCTCGTATAGGTCAGTCTTGTTGATTTCTTTGATGAGTTCGTTCAGCTCGATGTCTGACATGATGTGTTGGCCTTCTCTTCCACAAGTCAGATGGACGTAGTTGTCAATGTGGAATCTGCACTTCTTACAAATAGGTTCTTCTTTGAGAATGTCTAGGTCTTCATCTCTGAGAAGTCTTCTTGGACCAGGCCCTAAATTCTTGGTCATTGTGGTAGATCTCTTTGCAGAAGTGATAGAGTTCATCCCAGACTCAGCTGCAAATGAGTCAACATCGAGTATGGAAGTGGTTCCTTTTTCTCTTCGCTCTTTGGCTTCTTCTGCTGCAATTGAGTCTCTGAGGACTCTTTTAGCCAACTTCACTCATTTGTTGCAGAACGAGCTGTCGACTGATCAGTAGCTGACAGTGGGTCCGTAAAGTGCAAAGAGATCTAACCTTCCTGTTACATTTGAATGCTCAAGATTAGGAGGATATCAAAACTTTAAGAGATGCTCCATTGTCACCTTATAACGTTCATATTTAAATTCAGGAATTTTTTCTGGAATAGAGAACTTGAAAATATCCCTCTCTTTGTTTGCTGATCTAGGATCATCAGAGCCATGAAACCCATTTCTAATGAGATCCTCCCCGTATAGAGCTCTTAATGATTCAGGGGCATCAGTCTTAGCATTTTCAGGATCAGAAGGACCAATAAGTTTCTTCCACCTTGTGATAGGGTCCTCTAGCTTAATCTCTTCTTCATTTTCATCCATTTTAGTCTCGAACTTATTGATAAGGAGGAGCACTCTCGATTCTCCAGCAGTAAGATGCTCTTTAATTTCTTCGAAGAAAGGCTGATTTTTATATTTATAAAAGAGGTTCAGAATCTCTTGATCCTTAAGGATTTTTCATTTTTCATCAAAAACTTCAAAATCATTATCTTGTATTGTCTTCATAATCTCATTCATTTTCTCCTCCTTCAACGCTAGATTTGGCTTAATCACCGCTACAGTGTAAGCGATGGGGATCAGTTTCGATTTCATTTAATATTTTATTCTATAAAAATTTTGAATTAAGGGGTTTTGGGGTTTTGGGGTTTTGGGGTTTTGGGG